CGACCTATAGGACAGGGTAGAAATGGCCTTGTGGATTTCCAAGACTGTAACTATTGAAAGTAAGAAGCCCTATCTTTCTCCCAAGGAGCACCTAGTGGTTTTGAACTGCTGACCTTGAAAATCATGCCCCAACATGTAACTACTACAACACCAAGGTTCCTTATGTATATTCTAGGAAGCTTAAAAGAAATCATGGGAAAATGGAATTGAAAGAATGAATTTTCCACAAACTTTTGAAACCATATATAATATATACATAAAGATGTATATATGCATATCCTCAATTCTCGCTGTCATCAAGTCAAAGTTACCCATAGCAACCCCCTGTGGGTTTCTGAGACTGTAAGTGATTACGGGAGTAGAAAGCCCAGTCTTTCTCCCAAGGAACTACTGATGGTTTCGAACTGCTGACCATGTGGATTGCAGCCCAAGGCATAACCACCACACCACCAGAGCTCTGTGTTACTATATACAGAGGGATATGTGTGTGTGTTCTCAGAGAAATTGAGATTGGTTCATTTTAAGGAGTTTGTGCAGTTGTAGGGTCTGGCAAGTTCAAAATCCGTAGAGCAGGCGGCAGGCTGGGAACCCCAGCAGGATGTCTGTGTTAGTCTTTGTTTTTTAATCATTTTATTGGGGGGCTCTTACAAATCTTATAACAATCCACCATTCAGTCGTATTAAGCACATGGTATTAATTGTATTAAGCACATAAGTACATATGTTGCCATCAACATTTCCAAAACATTTTCTCTCTACTTGAGCCCTTGGTATCAGCTCTTCTTTTTTCCCCTCCCTCCCCCACCCTTGTGAATCCTTGATCCAATTATATATTATTGTTGCTATTTCGTGTCTAATACAGTCCATTGTCTCCCTTTACCCACATTTCTGTTATTCATCCACCTGGGGGGTGGGCTATATATCCAACTTTGTGATGGGTTCCTCCTCTCTCCCCCATCCCGCTACCCCACCCCACCATCCTCATACTCTCATGGTATGCCTACTCCCACTACTGTACCTGAGGGTTTTATCTGTCTTGAATTCCATGTGTTGAGAGTGTTTATCTGTACCAATGTGGGTACTCTGGTCTAGCCAGATTTGTAAGGTAGAACTGGGTCATTGTAAGAGGCGGAGGGGGGAGGAAGCATGGAAACATTCAGGGACTAGAGGAATGTTGTGCATTTTGTCAATGCTATAATGCACCCTGGTTGAATCATCCCTTCCTTGTAACCCTTCTGTGGGGAGATGTCCACTTGTCTACAGATGGCTTTAGGTCTCCACTCCACACCCCCCTCATTCGCATCGATATAACTGTTTGTTTTAGATCTTTTGATACCTAATACCTGATCCCATCGACACCTCATGATCACCCAGGCTGATGTGATTCTTCCATGTGGGCTTATTTGCTTCCCTGCTAGATGGCTGCTTGTTAACTTCAAGCCTTTAAGACCCCAGACACTATATCTTTTGATCCCATCGACACCTCATGATCACCCAGGCTGATGTGATTCTTCCATGTGGGCTTATTTGCTTCCCTGCTAGATGGCTGCTTGTTAACTTTAAGCCTTTAAGGCCCCAGACAATATATCTTTTGATAGCTGGGCACCATCCACTTTCTTCACCACATTTGTTTATGTACCCATTTTGCCTTCAGCGATCATGTCAGAAAAGTGAGTATCAAAGACTGCAGGTTATTAGAACAGTGTTCTTGTGTTTAGGGAGGCCTTGAATAGAGGCTGAGTCTGTCTGCTATCTTAATACTTAACATATAAATATATGTCCACTGCCCTCTATCCCTTTCATTATAAATAAATATATTTACAAATATACATGCCTCTAGCTATCCCTGTATAAATAACTTTCGCCTCCACTTCTTTCCTCTATTTCCTTTCACCTTCCCCCTGTCCCACTCCCCATTCGGCCCTCAGTAATCCTTCTCGGATACATTGCATTTGATCAAACCCCACCAGGCATTATATGCCCTCCTCGCCATCAATTTTAGATCTCTTATTGTTCCCTTATCCCTGAATGTGTTGGCTCCCTGCCCCCTGCCTATCTAATATAGGGTGAAAGGAAAAAAACCAACCACCCGATAGATGGCTCCACGTCTGTCTGCTGATCCTTACGAGTGTTTTACAATCAGGTCTGGTGAGGTGCCAAGCCCTGTCCCCTGAGTCAGAAGTCTATTTTCATGATTCCTTGGGGACTCGGTTACTTTGCTCCCCTTGCTGCCCAGTTGCACTCCCTCCATGCACCCCACTGTCCCTGGAGCAGTCTGGGCACACTTTCTGCACAGTGTCTCCAATGCTGTCCCCCATAGCGCTGTGGGTCCGTGAAGGAACCTCGTGTCTCATGGTGGGGTCAGCCCTACGGT